ATTTTTGTTGCACGGAAACTTTACTGGCGATGATTTTTATCCTTATTTTCAGCTCGATGGAAAATGTTCTGTCAAACTTGGACTCTCTTCCAGGAACGAGCCGTCAGCCGGCGTCCAGGGGTGTTTACGAGCTGCCTCGTTCAGCTGAACGTCTCAGTCGTTTCAGTGTTTTGCCCGGGAGAAAATCAACTCTTGGATTTGCACAAGAGCAGTCTGAGAGCTCTTGTGGCCTCTTTGGGCATCCCAAGGCTTGTCCCACACTCAGCCAGCTCCAAGGCTTGGGGTTGGCAAGCGCAGTAACTGCTGAGCATCGTTTCTCCCTTTCCACTTGAGCCGTGCCGTGCTTTTATTTTTCACCCGTGCCTTTTACTTCCGTGCTGAGCCCGATGCGCATCCCTGGACACGGTTCCTTTCCACATCAAAAAACTCCTGCACCGTGGCCCTGCCCGGGCAGGATGCTCCTGCTCCTCACCTCTCCCTCCTGTGACTTGGTCCCTGCGGCTCTCTCTCCTGCCTCATTTTTTGGGAGCCCAAAGCCCAGCGCTGTCAGCAGGGTAAGACCATGCAATAAAGTGTTTGCGTAATGGCGTGGTGACCATCACTGCGTCTGGCCATAACGCTCTGCCGGTGGGTCCTCGAGCGCTGCCAGCTTGGCACAGGTTTTCAGGGAGATGTGGTTGGTTGGTGGGGTGGTCAGTCCTTCCAAAACACAGGCTTAGCCCAGCAGAAGAGGGTTTTTTCTCTGTGCTTACAAGGCAGCTATTGCTTCTGCTTCCTGACATCCAGGAAATGCCATTGTAGTCCCCTGCGGGGGCTCATCCTGCCTTCCCTGCAGCGTGGCAGCGAGCCGGGGAGCGTACCTCTCCATCCACCCCCATCAACAGAGCATCTGGAGAGGGTGGAAGTGCCTCCAGCTGCAGCGAGATGAGGCCTTCGATCCGACACCCGTCAGGCTGTGTTTTCCCCTTGGCCAATGTGGTCTGGTGGGTGGGTGGCGTGGCAAGGTTATGGCGTTGGGGAGGGCAGCAGGTAGACAGTAACGCCTGCGGGGTTGGACCTTGGACTTGGCTGCGTGGGGGCCCAAAAAGACCTTGATTTTGCTCCGTGGACTGCAAGGCCAATGACAGGGAGGGATGGTGGGCACCCAGAGTTTCCTAGGCTGTGCAAAGAAAAACCCTAATTGTTGTTACCTCCTCTCTCCCCCTTTGAAATACCATTTTCATTTGCTTTTCCCTAAGACCTCGCAGCCCCATGGCGAAGGGGAAAGGTTAAAGCTGTGAGCCTTCCAAGGCGAAGCTCTGCTTGCTGTGCCAACACCGGGCTGCTGGAGCTCAGTCTTCGGAGAGCAAAATTCAGGGCTTCGCAGTGCTAGGATCCTGTGGGTAGGGAGACAGGGAAGTTGTCTTGTGGAGTTGTTACCTGTGCAAAATTAGCCCAGCTCTAAATTCCCCAAAGCTCTCCCTGCCACAGTTCCCTTTACTTGTTCCTGTCCCTCCCCAGCTGTGGAGGGGCTGGGGCCGGTTGCTGCAGGGATTGCCCGGGCAGCCGCAGCATCTCCACCCTGGCAGCAGGAACAAGACACTTTGCTTCCCGCTCTCCATCGGCGAGGAAGCTACTCGGAGTACAAAACCTTTCCTCTGGGTGCTAAGCTTTTGTAGATGAAGTCCTGGAGGCCACCGAGGCTTCTCCTCTCCCCTTGCTCAGTGCTAGGGCAAGGCTCAGTGGAGAAGGGATAGGGGTTTCCTTGGGCTCGGAGGGAAGGTGTCATGTAGTCAGACCAAGACAACTGGCAGAGCTGGTCGGAGAAGGAGCTCGTCAGCCCCATGACTGCCTGTAGCTACGTGGCTTAGCACGGGGAGGGAGAAGCAGCATGGCTGAGGGGAAGGAAGGGGCTGAAACAGAGGTGGCTCAAGAGGGGACGTTGCTCTGAATTCTCTTTGGCCCCAGGGTGCACTGAGAAGCCCTCTGGAAGATCACACCATTGCCCAGTGATGTGTGCTGCCCGTCTGCTCAGCAGCAGAGCAGCGTTGGGACCTCGGAGGGGCGAGAAGCACCCTCAGGGCCAAGGGATGGTGGCTGAATCCCTGCCGGGGCTCCCACGCTATCTGTTGGTCCTTCTCGAGCTAAGCCCCATGCCAGGCACTCTTCCCTTCCCCTTTGCTGGTTGTACCCATCACGTCCCCTCCTTAATGTGGCGAGAGTAGATGGGTAATGTGCTTTCCGTGCCACTGTCCTCGTGTTTCCCCCAGGCATGGACCCACTCTCATCTCTTCTGCCAACCCCCCTGTCAGCCCATGGCATGCTTGTGGCCATCGCCCTCCCTCGTTAAATTAAAAGCAGTGGAGATCGTTAGCAGCAGAGCACGCACTGTGGCCTGCGGGCTCTTGGCTGTGGCATCTCTATCAGATGCAGTGGTTTGTGCTCGTTGCCGTGCCCACCGTGGCTGGGGCTCCTGGCTGCATCTCTTATGGGAGATTTTCGCACCCGAGGTCGGAGTTCGCGTTCTGCTCCCTATCAGGCAAAAGCCAAATCTCTGCAGCCATGTCCTCCGCACGTCTGTCCTTAAGCCTGGGAGAGAAAGAGACCTTGCAGCAGGGCGGGGAGGAAATAGCTGCTTCGTGATAGTTGTGGGATGGAAAGTTTTAATAGAAGGGCAAACAGCCCTCTTCCCTGAGGCCTCTGCTTGGAGGTGCCCAGCAAGGCTGCTGAAGGTCTTTGGGGTGGCCGAGAGTAGCAGCGAGGTCCTCAGACACCTTGGCCTGTGATGAAATCCTTGTTTTGGGGCTGGAAAGGCAGCTCTGAGAGGTTGTTGCAGCTCAGCCGAGCCAGGAAACGCCCTGTTGTGTCGAAACGCCACTGAGGAGGGGGAGGAGAGGGTTAGTGCTGCCAAAAATCGGGTCGAGATGCTCTCTGTGGTGCCAGAGGCAAGGCTGGGCAGGAGACGGTCAGGTGTTGGGATAGAGCCCTTGGCGGCCAGCTTGGGCTAGCATTTGCCCCTAGCTGGGAGCCCAGGGGCGAGCGCCAAGGCACTGCAGTGATGCTGCTTGTGAAATGGTGGCAGGGCTTAATTTTGCTTCTACCTGCCCAGTTAACTCCATTTTCACCCGGTTGCCAACACCGCTTTAAGGGGTTTAAGGCCCTCTCTCTGTCCTGCTCCAGGAAGGCTCCGCTTTTGTTGGTTTTTCCAAAAGGTATTTGAGCAGTTTGATCCCAGCTTTGCAAGTCTGGCACATTGGGTTTGGACGGTGGCCGAGAGCGCTGGCTCGTCACCCCCCATCAACTTAAAAACCAAAAAGCTGCAGATTCAGGCTTCTTTCTCGGTTTCTCTCTGATCTTCAGAGCCCTAACTGCCTCCAGCTGTCTTTTTCCCTTAGCAGCTGCAGAAAAACCCGCAGCCAGCTCAGAAAACACCTTGAACCTGTTGGTGCAAAGCTCCAGACACGGGTGGAGCCAGTGCTATTGCATGTGTCAAGTTCAGCTAGTGCTCATGCCATGCTTCAGGAGCCTCGCCACCTCGGTTCGGCTTTCCAGCGTGACTCCCTCCCTTCCCTACATATTCTACCAAAACATCTTATACCCGTCCTTCCTCTCGGATGACCAGAAAGGCAGGGTGGGCTCTGCCCTTAGCTCCTCTCAGCCTTCAAGAGGAAAGCATCCGCGGGCACCCTCAGCTGCACCCCGGCAGCATAGTCCCTTGGAGCAATGTGTCACAGCTTCGGGGTCTGCTGGAGACATCCCCCTTTCTTTGTCACTGTCACCAGAGCGAGAGCATCCGTTGGGGTGGAGAGCGTGTCCGTGCCGTGGCTGCTGCCAGGGCAGAGTCTAGACTGGGTTATTCTGCCCGTCTGCTGTAGCCACCTTGGAAACGTGCTTACGAAGGTGCCTGCACAATGGGAAAATGATGGGTGGGCTCCAGGTGCTCTGGTGTTGTCTCACCTGTTGAAATCCTCTTGCTCTGGAG